TAGAACCGAATCTGATTGACAGTCATTGAATGGAAGCCTGTCAGAGGAAGAATGGCAGATCCATTAACTTCGCTGCAAAAAAAGAAAGCAAGGCTTTGGCCTTAATACAGGCCAAGCACTGAATTCCAGAGAAAAATATGCGTCCTTCCTGATTGAAGTAGATTGTGGTCTGAACGATATGCTGGCTACGGAATCCATCATTCTGATTCGCCACTTTAATGCACAAATTGGAGCAGACACTGAAACGTGGGAAGATGCAATTCAGAAGAATGTCCCAGGCAATCTCAACAATAACAGCATGAAGTTATTGCGCAACTGCCTCGACATAGTCTGCCTCGACATAGTCTGCCTCGACTTGACAGACTCGGATTAGTTTGTGCCGAAGCTCAAACGCTGGCACAGGATCGGGAACGTTGGAAATACTGTGACGCGTCTGCCTCGGCGACCCGAAAGGATAAGCGTTAATCGAAATTGATTGATTGATTTAAGCCATGTTGTGGCAGACTGAGTTCAGCTAACTAAGACTTTACATTAGCTGTCGAAGACATGGTGCAGTTACGGAAGTAGACAACAGACAGAGGGATCAGACGCGTGTAGACGCGTTCGTGCCGCCCTGCGGAATCGGTCGAAAATCTAAAGGAATGAAGGGCAAGAAGGCACTTACCTCACACACGGATGACTTCCTTACAGTGCTGCTGATTCAACCCGATGTTGCACCCAGCCCGAACGCAGTCGATGTTCAGTCAAGCACAATGTCTGTCCGCGGCCAGAGCGTGCAAAAACTGCCGCCTCGCAGAAAAGGACCGCGATTTCAGATGAACGATGATTCGACAGCCGACCGATACGCAAGCGATGAGGTGTAAACTTGAAAGTGACGCAGCGGGTGAGCTGCTTTCAGCCGAAGCTAGCTTCTCTTCGACCAATTTCGCACAGCAGTTCCTCGATCGCTACCTCGGACGTAATGGCGTCAGTCGACGCTGATGAATCGCTGAATGTGCAAGAAGTTCGTTGTTTGTGTGGCTGTGGCCAATGTTGCAGTTTGAGTCCGCCGTAGTTGTGAGGCGCGTTGGTTGCTCGTCGTTTGCCTCAGCACCCTCTGTTTCGTGAATCACGAATTACTCTTTCTCGGTGAGACGCTAGCAAACGAGGTCGTCGCTCACGAGGCAAACCTCTTCGCTTCCAGCCAGTTCCAACTGCAGTGAAAGGCGGCAGGTAATCTTTGCAAACAGAACATAATCTCAATCTTCATTGCCGGAACCAGCATGACTCATCCTTCACTGGCGTCCTTCAGTTGCTGTTCGCTTACTTTTCGACTGAAGTTGGCGAAGTTAAGAGTGCTAAAAGCAGTGCAAGAACTATTTTGCCCTCAGAGTGTTTCTCTTGACTCACTTCTCCCTCAACGTAGCTGATAAGAAACAATCGCTGCACTTTTCAGCCAAACCATGGCATGCTTTCCATCATTCCGTAGGCTGTTTGCCAGTGAAATTAAGCATTAAGCAATAGTTGAATTCATGACTTTTAGCGCTAAAGATTCTGCACCTTAATTTACTCCACGCGTGCGACCGTCAGCAATAAATTAGTAAACGATTACGAAATCTGTACAGATATGCACATGTTGCCCACACAAGTGACCTAACGAGCAATGTCATTTTTTTCGAAACTCTTACGCGGAAGTAGCTAAAACATGATAATCATGCATTCATGGTATTAGAATTCGGTTTTAGTAAATTTAAGCCCTTTCCACTAGTAAATCATCATTTACTAAAGAAACTATGCCGAGAAAGAAAGTTTTGAAAGTCGGATAAACGCATTGCCTGATAAAATTTTCAATAATTCGCTTTCGAATAAAGTTATAGAGAACAGATGAACTGTTTTAATGTTAACTCGGATGTAAAATCGATCTCATTTCAAGAATATGTAGCTTATTAGTTGAGCGTATGGAAAACTACAGACTGCCATATGTTAAAGTGAGGAACTGTAACTACCAGTGATATGTTATAAAATTCACTCGACTTCTAAATCGGAAGTTCGAAGACCGAACTGCGGCAAAGTCTGTCCTTTACCATATGGCTACTATATTTCCTAGTAATTTCTCTGAAAAGAGGCAATCTCAATACATTCTGACGCGACTACTGAAAATCACGACATGGCGATGTTATGCAGAGAGTCGGAAAACTGCCGTACTTTGAACAGATCATGTAAAAGCATATGTGACTGACGATCACGCTGTTCGGTGTGCTTTAGACCGCAGCAATTTCTTATGCACTACATACCCCAATTGCTTCTGTGGGTAACTGAATGTTGACACCGGTTGGAACACAGAGTACCATTACGATTAAAGGTAACGTATTTGAGGTAATGCTTCTTGCACCCTAAAGTTTGCTCTTGCAACGCTGTCTCAACTTTTCAACGATTTGTAAGCAACGGTAGAAATATCGAATTGGGGGAAGGGGTTTGCCTGCCACAGCTATTTAAGTGGATAATCAGATGGTTCAACTCGAGAAGCGATTTTTCCATCTGGTCAACTAGCAATACTTCTGGAGACGCTGCGGGATCTGAGGCGTTTCGCCATTCCGGACTCATCGCTCAGACAAAAGTCGCTGTGCTGCACATCTGATGATCGAAAACCATATTGGCGCAACGAAATGCGAGTCTACCATTCCTGTTTTTCACCACTACTGCTTTATGGAGCTGACGTTTAAATACTGGAAACATGCTAATTTTATTCAGCAGATGAATTTGTATTTCGAATTTTATACACAGAACGTTTTGTTGGATGTGACAAGTTTTTCAGCAAATAAACATTTGAAGTGAAAATCAT